AGGCATGCACCCCCACACCCACCTCTTCCTATATTCTTCTGGGAGCAGCTTATCAGGATTTTCTATAGTGAAATCAGGTAATGGAACAACTATAAGATATTGCTTTAATAAAATAACCATCAACACCAAAACAAACCCTTACCTTCATATGGTGCTCAACAAACACACTATTCATTTTCACCTCAATAGTACTCATATATAGTATAAATTTTTACCCCCATTTTAAAGATAAGGAAACTAAAGACACAAAGTCATCCAGTTAATGAGAGGCAGAGTCAATTCCAAGTTCTGTGGTTTTGTATCATGCCTTGTTAGCATTTTTCTCTTCATCCATCTTGGTACCTATTTTTTACCAGATTAGAAAAAAAGGGTTGAGTCTGCTTTCACAACATGAACTTGGCCCCCAAGAATTCTTAATCTCCCCTTTGCTTGTTTCGATTGGTTGCATTCATTCTGTAAGTCTCCATATGAAACTCTTGCTGATAGTTGCATTAAACAAATATTTTTCAGCAAATAAATCAATCTGGCCAGACCTCTCTCATTAATCTTTCATGAATAATGAATGAAAAGACTCAAACTCATAAAATTTTTATAAGGATAGAGATTCCTTTTCCAGTTGCTGAAAAAGGTTTTAGAATTGACTCAGAAATGCTTTTACTCAGTGGACCTGTGAAATTATTTCTGGAACTGTCCAGTTTTTGCTTTCCAACCAATCAAATGGTGATTGGCTATTCTAGATGGGAAACTCACAGGCAAGACCTTCAGTGCTGGAATCATCACCTTTCACACACATTCTGATATTTCCATGCAACTAGATGTTTTTGAAGTTATTATTAAGCATCGTTTTCCTTCTTTTTTCCTCCCTCCTCTACTGGAAGCATACTTTCCATTTCCTTGTGAGGCATGAAAGTTTTCACCTCTCTCAGAATTCCAACAGGAAGCAACTATGACACAAATGAAATTACTTCATACAGTGTCACTCATCAAATCAGTGGAAGATCCAGGGATTTAGCATACACTGCCCTAGCTAAGCCTTTCTCCAAGACCAACACACTAACCACCACCACATGGACCGGGCAGTGCTCATGAGAGCAGTAGCACTTAGGGATGAAGTAAGAGAAATTCTCGTTTCCCTGATAACTGAAGAATTAGTAGTTTTATTTTCAAAACCCAAGGAAGACTGAGGTACTGATTTTCAGAAGAAGGTGGATTTATTGATGAAGGCATTAATAACATTCCTGGATTTGTTAAAAAGGTATGTTCTGTATTGTGTGCATGTATGAATATATAACAATGAATCTCATCATTATGTACAACTATAATGGACCAATAAAAAACGTGGAAAGAATTTAAATTAGATTTCTACACATTCAGTCCTTAGCCTTCTTTTTTGCAATGATTTTATAGTCTTGACCTTGGTTAATTAATTCTTTATGATACCACCTTACAAAGGCATAAGAATTTCTACTTGATGTGGAAATAAAACAAAAACTTTAATGTAGATACAATGTCTTCTTTCAAAATGCACATTCACAAATGTAATATAAATGAAAAATTACTTGCTCTAGAAAATTTCCCTGAACTACTCAGTTTAAAGATAGCACCTTTCAATATTTGAACTAAATGAACTTACATAGTTTTACCAGGAATGATAGACTTTCTCTAGCAAAGGAATCATAAATCATATACTCTGAGTTATAAGGAAGTCAGACGTCATTAAGCACAACAGCTTCATTTTAAAAATGAGAAGATGCTAAAGTTAAGACTCGCAAAGTCTTACAGATGTTTAACCACAGGYCTGGGTCTTGATTCCTGACTCCTATAAATTCTTTGAGATGGATGATACTTAACTTGCTGGTATCTATTAAAAATCAGAATGTATAATACAAAGAAGCTGTTTCTGCTTTTAATATTTTAGATCATAAATTCTTAACTTGTGACTCACCCTGCTGAGTTGATCCAATAACCTTTGGTTCTGCTCTGATAGCTCCTGGACAGCCCGTGTTTTTTCTCGATCTGCTTCCCGAAGATGAACTTGTTGCCTCTCCAACTCATCCTGTAGCTGTTTCACATCACTCTCCAGCTCTGACACTCGCCCTTCCCACTCCCCTTCTCGGTTCTCAAACCGTCTTCTCAGTTCATGTTTCTCTTGTTCTAAGTGCTAGGTGAAAAGCAAAAAAGGATTAAAAACTTTAAAAAATCCCAGTCTTTTTTGTCTTTTCATATTCTTAACCTTTCCTCTCCCAGTCAGTGAGGACAACAAACCACCTGCCACGGAGGATTAGTTGCCCAATTCACAGCTACATAAATACTCCCTTCAGAGCAAGGGAGGAGCTGGCTTCACAGGGGAAACATCATTTGTATTAGAAATACTTAATGTTTACTTTCCTTGGCATGCGGTTCTAGACTTGGGAATTCACTTGGGATTCAACAAGTCAACTCATGATTTGGTGAACTGTATATTTAAATGACTAAAAATGAGTCCTATAATAAAATATTCATAGTTTTACCAGGGATGATAGACTTTCTCTTTTGATTTTGGGGGTGCTGGAGGTAATCAGGAATTGAACTCAGGGCCCCTTGACACTTGGCCACATCCCCAGCCCTACTTTGTATTTTATTTAGAGACAGGGTCTCACTGAGTTGCATAGCATCTCGCTTCTGCTAAAGCTAGCTTTGAACTCTCAATCCTCCTGCCTCAGCCTCCCAAGCCGCTGGGATCACAGGTATGATTTACCATGCCCGWCCACTCATTGCTTTTTAAAGGGGTCTTCTTGGGAACCATTTATTATGCATGCCTTAATATCAGACCCTTACAACTGCAGAATTTTCAAAGATGCTTCAGATTAATCATTTCTTCTTACAAATAAGGCAACAGAGGCAGTTAAGTGACTAGTTCAAGGTCAGTACTAGTAAATAGCAGGGCTGGGATTTGTGTCCAAGTCACATGACTAATGCTCTAAATTATAGCTTAATAAATATATGTTCTGTATTTTATGTATTTCTGTATTGTTATATATTTCAAAGTCATTAAGACAAGTTCAGATTCAGGTCTACTTTAAATTATGGCCTATTAATAAGCCTTGCATATTTATTTCTGGTCCATTCATCCATTCTTGAGAGCTATGTTCCTGGGGACATGGTGATGAACAAAACAGACAAGCTTCTTGCCTTTATGGAGTTTTAATTCCAATGGGAGAGACTGAAGAAGTAATAAACTGTGTGTGATAAAGGGTATGCAGGAAAAGTACAGATGGTTTAAGTAGCAACTCAATAAAAAAGATCCCTGTGGATTGCAGGAAATATTTTGCTTCTGTGAGACAAATACGGATACCTCTTTTCAGACACAAGTATATCCTCCTACTTAAAAAGCATGTTATGTACAATAAAAAAGTGCATACTTCAAGCAAGTTAAAGTAAGAATCCTCACCTTTTGGTGCTCTCAGAAAAGTTCTAATGATTGTTCAAAATATATCACACCAGGGCTTGGGATATAGTTCAGTTGGTACAGTGCCTGCCTTGCATGCACAAGGCCCTGGTTCAATCCCCAGCAACACACACACACAAACATATTTGTGTATGTATATGTGTGTGTATATACATATATATGTATATACACACACACATATATACATACACACACACACACACACACACACACACACACACACCACACCACATCCCCACTCCTAAGATTGTAATTCAGCTGGGAATGAAATGAGGTCTAGACATCTATGTATGAATATAAACACAGGTACATGTATTTGATTTTTACAGAAAATTCTGCTGCCCTGAGCTGTTGTGCTGTTTCAACCTAAAATGAGCACATGCATTCTCCTTTAGAGTACTCAGTCATCTCTTCTTAGACAGCTACACTCTTACTTGATTGAAGTTCTCAGCTTTCAAAATATTTTTGGAATGCTTCTTTTGGGAAGCCTCAGRGATAGCTTATCCTCATGTAAGAAAATCATTCCCATTGTTTTACATATGAGGTATGTCTAAAAATGAAATTATCCCATTTCACCCTGCTATCTAATTCCCCTTACTTTGCTCTGAGTGATTTATGAATGTTTCTGAAAGTCAAATTTACCCCCTCCCAGAGGAAAATGTGCCACAGATGAGGGCAGCGAAAAGAATATGTTGAAAGATAAAAACAGCAATCCAAAATTAAAATTCTGATCCCATTAGCAAAGATTTTTCTCTGAGAGCTTCCAAGATGACTACTTTAAGGAGACCACTCGTTTGGTTACTGCTGGTATATTGTAGTCACATCACTTTACTTTTATACATAATACAATCTCAGATTGGAGCATGTGGAAAAAGGAACAAGGCATGGACTTCTACTCACCAGCTTGAGAAGTTTTTGCTCTGTGTTTCCCTGAYACTACTAAACTTACAAAACTGAGAATGATTTAGTCAATATAGAAATTTCATAAAGATAGAATGCAGAAAAAATGCTAATTGCAATACTAAAACTGTGATACTTGGTTTATTGAATTTTTCCAAAATGAAAGACCGAGCAGAAGGCAACAGCAAGAACTCAGTAATCAGTGTTACTGAGAGGCCAGATAAATTAGGCTTGTGTTCTAAAAGAACAGAGAGACTTAAAAATATTCAGCAAACAGCTGCTAGAGAACAGCCCAACCAAGCAACTAAAACAATCCAATCCACGTGGGGGGAGGGGCTGAGGACAGGTGGTGCTGATCAGTCTAATCTGTCCTTTAACAGGAGACAAACTCCCTATTTCTTCGGGAATTATATATTTAAGTGCTAAATTAGCCAGAAAATTCTAAGCAGAATGTTGGAAAGCATAGATATCAGGGTCACCTATGCTCTCCCCTTTTTTCAGGGTTATATAGTATTTTAAAAGTTAATATCAAAATTGTCAAGTTCATCAAAATAAGGAAAGTCCAAGAAACTGTCACAGCTAAGGAGAGCCTAAGGAAACAAAACTAAATATAATATGGGACCCTGGATGGGATCCTGGAATACCTAAGGAGACAAAAACCAAATGTAATGTGGTATCCTATATCAGAAAAAGACATTAGACAAAGGCTAAGGAAATCAGAATACGGTAAGGACTTCAGGGGTATCATGAATTGTGGCAAATGTATCATACTATTGTTAGCAAGAGGAAACTGGATGCAGAGTCCATGGAAACTCTCTGTACTTTCTTTCCAAWTTTCCCATAAATCTAAAACCAACTGTTCTAACAAACAGTCTACTTAAAACTCCCCAAACCCAAAAATACCATTAGCATACATAAAATACATCTTTACCAAAATATCTCTGAAAAAAATTAAAAAGGAGTAAGAAAAAAGTGTCACTATGATCACAAGTCCAGGACATGGTTCTTGAAAAATACAAGGAGAAAGAATTGTTCTCTAAGAAGAGCAAGCACTGGGCTGGGGATGTGGCTCAAGCCGTAGCACGCTCGCCTGGCATGCATGCGGCCCGGGTTCGATCCTCAGCACCACATACCAACAAAGATGTTGTGTCCGCCGAGAACTAAAATAAATAAATAAATATTAAAAAAAAAAAAAAAAAGAGCAAGCACTGAGTGCAAATCAGTACCCTGAGGTTTGTGCCTCTAGATCTGGTAGTGACTCCCAGATACACATTTTCAACCCTCTTCCCCTTAAAAAAMCAAAAAACTACAATAATCATAAGAATTGGCTGAGAGTGGAGGAAGGAAAATATAACTGAAGGAAGAGACTACCTCTGTGGTAAGGGATGATCCACTCTCAGCCATAAGAGAAAAAAATTGGGTACTGTACAACAACAAATATTTTAATCCCTAAAGAAYACAAGTATAGAAATACAAGTTAGTTTCTTAGTTCATATTCTGGGGAAAAAATTAAGGACTTGGTTAGATATGTTTTTAAAATCAAAGGGGCTTATAGATGCAGTAGAAACAAAAAGTCTTTAGAACTTAAAGCATATGAAAATCTGATTCCATGAAAGAATATAGTCTTGTTGATTTGAGGATGAGAAAAATGGCCAAAACCTAACAGTTTTTCTAGTTAACTTGAACTTTCATTTTAAGAGAGACGTACAGCTAAACAACTTCTATGTTAACCTTTAAACCATTAAAGATTTTAAACAGTATAYCTTTAATTAGAGAAATGTAGGCTCAGGTACTTGATATTTGAAATGAAACAAAATTTTGGGTTTGGCACAGAACTGGAGAGTTACTCTATGAATTCATGAATAAGTAGGAAAAATCTTGAAAATGGATTGTTTGGCGCTGGGGCTGTAGCTCACTGGTAGAGCGCCTGCCTCATACATGTGAGACACTGGGCTCGATTCTCAGCACCACATAGAAATAATTTAAAAATAAATAAATAAATAAATTTTTAGAAAAGGCTTATTTGTCCTGAGGGCTTTTTTTTTTTTTTTTTTTTTTTGGTACTAGAGATTGAACCCAGAGGCGCTTACCCACTGAACCAAAACCACAGCCATTTTTGTTATTTTATTTTGAAACAGTCTGGAAAAGTTACACAGGGCCTCACCAAGTTCCTGAGGCTGGCTTTGAACTTGTGATCCTCTTTGCCTCAGCCTCCCAAGCCTTCCTGCCACTATATCTGGTAGGAAGGTGCCAATTCTGAAGTAGCAAGGAAACAGATGGCACTAAAATAAAACCCATCTAGGGGCTGGGGTTGTGGCTCCGTCTCCGTGTTAGAGCTCTTACCTAGAATGTGTGAGGCACTGGGTTCAATTCTCAGCACCACATAAAAATAAAGGTCCATTAACAGCTAAAAAATATTTTTTAAAAAATAAAATAAAATAAAACCCATCTAAGAGTAAACTACCATTCTGTGAGTCCACTCATTTTTTGTTGTTTTTGAGATGGGGTTTCAATTGTTGCTGCACAAGCAGCCTGGAACTCATCTTCCTGCTTCAGCCTCCCTAATAGCTAGTAGCATAGGTGTGTGCCCTCATGCCCAGTCTCCACTCAAATATATCTTTCAAACCAACCTGTGAGAAAATGTGTTTGATTCCAATGTATGAATTTTGGGAAAATCATAAATCCTTCTTAAAGAAAGGGCTCTTTCTTYACTCCCAAATGTTTAATTTGATTGAAAACACAGTAACTGTGTTTTCAAAAACTATACCGTAGGGAAAACTCATTTGCAGTTATCAAATGAAACAGTCCAATGTAAATTCGAGAGTAGCAAAACTGATTAACATTAAAAGAATTAACAAGGGCTGGGAGTATGGTTCAGTGTAGAGAGCTTGTGAGTCCCAATCACAGCACCATGTGCACACACATACCAAAAAAAAAAAAAAGCAACTAATGGCAATATTTTTAAATGTTAATGTTTTTAAATGTTAATATATTTTAAATGATTTTTAAAACATTCACTAAAAAATTGGAGCTGGGTGCAGTGGTGCACACTTGTAGGTCTGGCTATACAGGAGGCTGAGGAAGAGGAATTGCTCAAGCCCAGGAGTTCAGGGCCAGCATGGGCAACACTGCAAAACCCTGTTTCAAAAAACAAAAAAACTTAGAATACTTTCATAATTTCAACTATATCTAGAAGAACTAACATAAATAAATGAAAATTTTTAATTTGGTTATTTTAAAATTGTGGTAAAATATACAATTTACCATTTTACCCATTTTTAAGCATATAATTGTGTTGAGTACATTCATGACATTTTGCACCAATGTCCAGAATCTAAAAAAAAATTTATCACTACTGTTCATATGCTGACTCGCAGAAGAGTAAAGACCTTAAATAATAGTTTGAGAGATTAAAACGTTTTTATTTTTGCCCATCAAACCAATTACAAAATGTCAAAGTAATTTGTTCTTGTACAATAACACTTTTTGTTGGCGTGGAATTTTGAAATCTTTTTCCTTTTGAAGAAACGTATAAAGACTCCACATGGAAAACAGGATGTAATTGTACACTCAGGATTACTATGAAATCTATCACTAATCAAACTGATACGRTGTTCCTTTCAAGTCAGCTGTCTCTTCAATCAAGTTATCTCACTGAAGGAATTTCAAATCTCAAGTATAAATCTCAGCAGTAGTACTTCTTTACAGACTCGAGTAACTGAATCTCTTTAGGGGAAAGAAGACACCCTTTTATTTCTAGACCTCTACTTCAAGTGAAATCAAACAATTCAATTCATTAGGTTGCTTTTTGGCAGTCTCCACATAGCTTTCACAAACAACTTTTCAGAGATGAATCTTGAGTTCATAACAGGCAGACCCAGTTAACAGGCCAGCTGAATCACAGGGCACTCACTAGTTTCCTTTTTTCCCYGATTTTACTTTTGATATGCCTCTGGACTAGACACACAAAAATCTTATTATAGAAATGTTTCTGATTCCACCGACTGTTCAACCAGTAGCAGTGATGTACATGAAACCCAACTAGGGTCAATTTCAGACCTTATTCGGGTCTGTACTTTTTTTTTTTTTTTTCCCTCTCTCTGGTAAATAAAGAAAGAACTGGCAGCAATCAGTAACTGAGTAACAATAGCAAATGCAGTCAGAAAAGAAAAAGCTTGTCTCCACTATTATAGATGACAACCCCTCTCCATTTTTTTTTTTGCAAATGTAATTTTCAGAAATGCTAATATTTGCCAATGCTAATATTCTGTACTTCATCTAAGGCTCTTTTCTGGTTAAGAATAAGAAAACAAACAAGCATAGCTCTTAAAGACTTTGGTCTAGGAAACTCAAAAACATTACAGATACTTTAAAAGATATTTATTTATAAAAGTTACAAGTAATACAGTTCTCATAGGTTGCACCTGGCATACAACTGCAAGCCTGGAAAAGTATGGCTTTTTACAAATAAATATTGAGGCCCAAATTAAATCCACTACCAGCAGTCACATGTTGAACCCCTTGCCTGGTTTCTGCAATGGAACCACATTTCCTAATCCCCAAGTATTTGAAGGCTATATAAAGCTTCTGTATGGGCACTTGTTTCTCATAACTTTGACCTGCCAGGAAGTTAAGACAAGGGCATCTGGAGACCTTAATGCCCAAACTGGAAAGCTTTAGGCTAACACCCCGATTAGAGATTAACTACTTCCCTGAAAACCTGGAGCATATCTTAAATGCTTACCGACTTTCTCATTTCTCTGTGTGCAGACATCGTCTCAGTGCTGTATAAATTAGTCATACTGTAAGCTCTATTTTAGATACTGTGTACTGTACATATACAGAACGGCAGTGAAGCCATGCACGGACCCATTTGCYGTGAGCGGGCTGGGAAAGTCAGGTTGGTTCAATGAATATCCTGAATTAATAATTAGAAACCCTCCATCCTACCTCCTGTACCAGATTATTTTCTTTGAGGTGGCGTAAGCAATGGAAGGGGAGAGAGTGAGTGGCTCCCCAAACTGCCTAGAACTAGGGGTACCTAGGTACCTGGCCTGCTCCTACTTCCCACCCATTCAGAGAGATCCTCACCTCCAGCTTGTCCGTCAGCTCCTTGTGCATCTGCTCATACTGCCGGCTCATGTCCTGGTTCCTCTCGAGCAGTGCCTTGCCCAGACGAGCCGCCAACACCAGATCCTTCTCCTTCTGCCGTATCACCGACAGCAGCTCAGGGTCCTGGGCAAGCGGCGGCTGTGGTCCGGCCCCCTCGGCAGGAGGCCCGGGCTCGGCCTGAGGATGCTCCCCGGGGTCGGAGGGCCGCTCCCCGGTCGCCAGCAGCGCCAGCTCCTCCTCTAAAGCCAGTTCCAGCTCCCCAGGGCCCCCGGGGAAGGAGACGAGGGCGGCGGCGGTGGCGGCGGCGGGGCTCCGGACTGCGTCCCCGGCCGCGGCKGGCAGCTCCATGCAGCAGGCGCTGTCCGGCTCGGCGGGTGCTGAAGCGCGGCCGGCCAAGCCCAGGCAAAAGGCGGACATGGCCCGCGCGCGCGGAGCCCGCAGCGGTGCGGCCCGGCCGGCGCGCGCCAGGCTGCAGGGGGGAGGGGCCCCGCCGCGCCGCCCCGCGCCCCGCGCCGCGGCACGCGCCCCCCGGGTCCCCGCGAGCCCTGGGCGCGGCGCGCGTCGGCCCGCCCCTCCCCCGCGCCGGCGGCACGCGCCCCCGCCCCCGGGCTCAGCTGCTCGCGCGCGCCGGGGGGGGGGGGGAAACGAGGATGGGGGGTAAGAACAGGAAGGCCAAGGAAGGGAAGGCCGAGGGGCCGAAGCGGGAGGGGAGGTTGCGAGAGGAACGCCGCCGCCGCCGCCGCCACCGGGTTCTCAGCCGCCCTGTTGCTGCTGCCGCCGCCGGACAGGCGGCGTCTCACGGGGCGGAATGCGCTCCGCTGTCGCTGCGACGGTCGCTGTCGCTGCTGCTGCCGGCGGCCGTTCTCTGCAGCCGCGCTCCATGTCCCTCGACTCGGCGGCAGCCCCAGCAGCAGCGGCGACGGCGGCGGCTGCTGCTGCAGGGGCCGAGGCGGCGGCTCCACATCGCGCGCCGCGCAGCCCTGGGAGCTCCTTCCTGCCTTCTCGGCTCCTCTAGCTCACCGGGCCGCCAGCACCCCGCCCCGGGCTTCCGGCCGCGCCCCTCTCCCCGCCCCTCGCCGGCGCCTGACGCGCGCGGGCACCTGTTCGCCGCGCCCGCGCGGGATTCGCCGGCTCGCGGGTCTCCTCAGCAGCGCCCAGGTGGCGCCGGCCGCCGTAACCCCTGCGCTGCACCCGCGGCCGGCTGCGCGCGCCGCCTGTGAGGGTGAGGGCGCACCACCCCTAACGGTCCCAGCTGCCCTCGGGCACGGCCACGCCCCCGGTCGCGGCCCCACTTTGCGGCGCGGCCCCGCCTTCAGCCTGGCTCCGACCGCGGGCGCGGCCCCACCCCGTACGCTCACCTGGGGTGTGGCCTCGCCCTGGTCCCGCACTCACTTCGGCCGAGCGCGGCCCCGCCCCCGGCCTCGTTCCCACCCCGGCGCGCCCCCTCCCAGTCCTCGCTCCCACGGCTGGCCTGGAGCGCGTCTCCAGGTTCCACTCTAGTCGCTTAGGTGGTCTGTGGGTCAGCGAGACTGGGGACATTCCTCCAAGACAGGTGGCGAAACCCCGAGAGATTCGYAGTCCCGGAATCTAGGTCTGAGCCCCCACCAGAGCTAAGCAGTCAGGAGAGGGAGCCCTAGAGAGCAGTAGGAGGAGGGATGACTTCGGAAACCCGGCATCTTAATGATGATGACTCAGGAATACGAAGGACCAGATGCTTCGGAGAGAAAGGGTTCATGTGGAGACATAACGGAAAAAACTGCTCACAGATGGGAATACGAAACAAAAATCCCCCTAATAATAGCTGCCCCCCCTTTTTTGTCACTTCGTGTGTGCCAGTGTCCGTACTCAGTGCTTTTTATGCATTTATGCTTTAGGTAATCCTTACAAGGACTTTATCTAAAGTACCGTCGCTTTCCCCAATTTACAGTGGGGGAAACTGAGGCCTAAAATTCGAATCCAGGACSGCTGATTCTAGGGTTCACAGAGATCACTATCCTTTACTTTCTTCACATATGACCGGTCTTCAAGAAGATAGTGGTAATTTATGACCAAGATGGACTGGCTCAATATAGAAGCAAAGCTTTTTGCAAGGATCTAAAGGATTGAAGAGTCCACTGGCTGACTTCCAGCCTGCTCTTGCTTTTACCTCATTGGTGATGCTCTGTGTCGCCTGTTTTCAGAAACAATTCCATCTGAAGCCAGTATTGGTCCTTATTGTTTCTTTTTCCTCTTGGATGACAACACGTTTTTTTAGTCACATCATACGTAGATTTTTGTTGTTGTTGTTCCAGTGAGGTGGAAATTTCAGAATACCAAGAAGCTGAAGTGGGTCAAATGGTTTCTGTGGTTCTTATTTCTTATTAAATGCAGAACCCAAACAATATYTGGGTATCACAATCTATCCTCTGATGGAAAATTAAGAATCCAAAAGGTCCTGAGCCTCAGGGCTGGCTTTGGAAAGGAGATAGACTGAACAGAGGGGTTGCCACATCTCTTAGGGCTAAATGTGTGCACAGGCCCTTGCTGTTGAAACATTGGAATGTTCTCACTTTTTTATTATGGTCTCCTCTGAGCAGAAATTGTGGGCCCTGGGGAGATCCAGTTGCTACTTCCTTTTGTCTTGTTTGAATGACACAAGGACACATTTCTGTCTATCTTAATAAGAAGACAAATGTATGGAGAAGAAACATGGTTTCTTATCAGTAGGGGTTTCAGTTTTGTTTATTTGTTGATGTTTTTTCCCTTCATGCAGACAGGCAGCCTGCCTTTCCAAAAGAGACCTTGGCTTGACTCCCTTTAACTCAGTGGTCCTGATCTATTAGACATGGTATGAAAATGAACTATTAGCATGCTAACTCTAGCTCCTAAATGTTTTCCCTAACAATCTTCTACTGCCTACACTGAATAGGAAACAAGCATTTCTTACTGTAATTTTGGCCCTAAGCACTATATTCCTGAGAATGGCCAAAGGAGAATCAGTTTGTTTGGCCAACTATTTAGAATAATGGTTCTTAAACTTTTTGGCCCTAGAATCACTTTACATTCCCCCAAATTATTGACGACATCAAAAATTTTTACTTTACATAGCTGTAGATATTGATATTTGATTTTTTTTTTAAACCGGGAATTGAACCCAAGGTAGCTTAAACACTAGCTTAAACATTCTCAACCTGTTTTTTATGTTTTATTTTCAGACAGGCCTCCTTAAGGACCTCGCTAAGTTGTTGAAGTTGGTCTGGAACTTGCAGTCCTCCTGCCTCAGCCTCCTAAGTTACTGGAATTGTAGGTGTGCATCACTATGTCCAGCTAAAATATTAATATTTAAAAAATTAAAATAGTAGGCATGGTGGCTTATGCCTATAATTCCAGGGACTTGGGATGCTGAAGTAGGAGGATTGCAAGTTCAAAGTCACCCTCAGCAATTTAGCAAGGCCCTAAGTAACTTAGCAATACTCTGTCTCAAAAAAAAAAAAAAGGCAGACTGGGGTTATGGCTCAGTGGATAAGTGCCCCTGGATTCCATCCCTGGTACCAACATAAATAAATAAAAAGTTAAAATACAGTGCTGGGAATGTAGCTCAGTTGTAAAGTGCTTGCCTAGCAAGTACAAGGCCCTGGGTTCAATCCCCAATATCACACACCAAAGTTAAAATATGGAAGAATTTAAAATATTGATTTATAATAAGCCTATGACATGTATGAAGATATTTTTTGAATGATAATGGTATATTCCCAAATTTTAAACAAATGAATGAGAAGGTTTGTATTATTTTATTTTTGCAAATAGAGGATGTTCGTAAGTGATACTAGCTTTCTCTTTTCTTTCCATGAGCATGTGGGCATAAAGAACAAACAACGTGTCTACCAGTGCACTTTGGTACTTATTATAGTTAGGATCTTAAGTGTCCCCCCAGAGATCCATGTGGTAAGGTCTTGGTCCCTAGCTATTGGGAGGTTGTGGAACCTTTAAGCAGTGGTGCCTAAAGGGAGATCTGTAGACCACTGAGAGTGTGACTTTGAAGGAGATTTTGAGACCCTTGCCCCTTCCCCTTTCCTCTTTTTCTTCCACTGAGGTGAGCAGTTTTGCTTCTCCATACGTTCCTGCCATACTGTGCTGCCTGCCCGTAGTAATGGAACCAACTGATGATGTATGGAAAACTTTAAAACTGGGAAATAAACTSTTTTTCCTTATAAGCTGATTATTTCAAACATTTGTTACAATTACAGAAGTTTGACTGTCTTAATTTATATTAGAGTATCAGTAATGTTACCCACTAGTGTTTTTGGATCATCAACACAAATGACAACAGTTAAAAAATAATATTTGACAATYGGCGTTATTATGAAATTAACTTTATGATTATTAAATTAAATTAAAATTACTGTCATTACAATTATTATGAAAATAGTTTAAGCGGCCATCCCCACCCTTGAAAAGGCTATTAGAGACCTTATTAGAGGGGGTCAGCGTGCCATATTTTGAGGACGGCTGATTCAAGGCCATTCAAGACCATTGGCCAGCTTTGAGGTAACAGAATAAGCAGGTACCTGCCTACATGGAAATTAGTACAAGATTTGAAACTTATCAAAACAAAGATATGACAACTCTCTGGCTTCTAAGAAGCTTATTATTTTGTTTATTCTGCTTCATGCTAAAACAAAGTATTATGTTCCAACTTCTTTATATAACATTATCTTATTTAATCCTCACAACAACCCTATAATGCTAGTGTATAACATCAATATGTACTATAGACTCCTACATGAGAACTGTTACAACACCAAGGGCCAAAACATAGATTTTTTTTTTCTCTTCTTAGAAATCCTGATATTTACAAATGTGACAACATGCATCCAATTTTCCTAAGTTGTTTATTTTTTATTAACATCTTGGTCTGTAAAAAGCTGGAAAGTGTAAAAGACAAAACATTTTCCAGAAAAATTTGTTTTTGAAAAGTCAAGTGTTGAAGAAATATGAGGAGCTGGCAAAATGTGTGATAAAAACAATTCTACGCTTGATATGTTCATTCAACAGTGGGGTATGTGCATGCGTGCATACACATGCGCACACATGAGTGCCTTCAGTTGTATATTTTATTTATTAACTAGTCATAGAAATATGGAAGTCTCAAAAAATTCTGAAATGTTATCCGAAGCTTCTCCATGTGTTTAGATATGAGTTGACTCAATATTTTGCAAAATGTGGTATATACACACCCCTGTGGTTCTCTAGTTCATTTTTAGAGAAAAAACATTAACTTCAGTGCCTGATGCTCATCAGCATCGGTTTTTATCAGAGGTCCTGCCTGCCTGGTGTGGATGATGCTTTCTTTGCTACCCAGAAGGTAAGTCTAAGCCTCATCTTGCCCTTACCTGATACACCATGAGTCCCTGACTTCTTTTCCACCAGCTTCTATTCCTTTCCACCATCACCCTG